AGTTTTCAAAGAACAATCACTACCTACTAAATTATGTCTCCTATTATTAGTGTCTGTCTCCCCAGGCCCATGAGGACAGATTGTTGTTTTCACTATCATCTCCCTAATACTGACCAGTGTCCCCCGCATAGTAAAGGGTTCATACAGATCTGTTACAAGAAGTCAAACGTAACCTAAGTCGGTTCGTTTGTAGGCAAGTCACAAAGCATTGGTATAAAATGATAAACCCTTATAAACAAAAACAGCAAAACGTGGAGCTATTCTTTCACACACTGTCTCCCATCTAGTCTACACCCTTCTGAAGGGGTGTCTCCATCGCCCCAATGCTCCCCTGAAGACTCCGGCACTCCTGCAAGCTCTGCATCAAAACGGCATCTTGGCATTCTCAAAGGACACAAATGATGTTCCTTTCCGATGCTCTTTGGAGTCTGGGAGGATGGGGTAAGGTTTCTCAATGGAATTCTCATAGGACAGACCTTGCCACTCTTACAGAATGAGCAGGTACAGTCGCAGAAAAGGATTCCTTAGCTGTTTTCACACCAACAGAGTTCTCAGTTCTCTTACAATTTCTTCCTAATAAGTCCCATGATCACCTTGGACTCTTCAGGGAACTCTATAAAGTTTCAACTTGGAATTCCCAAAACACAGCCACCACACCCTTCTGAAGGAACTTTTCTGCCTTGAATTTAGCTGGCCCAAGCCCCTCAGAAGTCACGGTTTTGTTGGGACTTTGCTTGATGGCTCATACCGGGTAAATCCAAGACTCGGTCCGCATTACGACTTGTGAACGCGTCAACCTTGCTGGAAAGACTAATGGAAAGAAAGGTCTGTGCTTTGAGCGAATCCTCCCGCAGTGCTGTCGGCACCCCTGAGCGAAAGCACGGCCCAGGTGCTCACTGCCGTGGAGCAGGCCCAGCCAGGGAGGGGCCAGCTTCAGGAACTTTCGCAGCAAAGGTGAACTCTCGGGCCTTCCCACGACTTTCTGGACTGTCGCCAGTTTCTGCATTTGTTGAGGCTGATGGTCTTCCCGACCCTCCTTAAAACTCTTGATCCATCTAGAGCCACCTGTTGTTTCATCTGGGCAACCTTCTCTCGTAAACTTGCCGGGAAGACGTCCGCTTGAGTTTTGCCAGGCATCTGATATTAGCCCTGACTTTAACACTGTCCCCACCCCCACGGTACAAAGAGCACCTTTTGCCTGTGGCCCACTAATGTGACAGGTGTGTGTCCCTGGGAGTTCATCTGCAGCCATCCGCTGATCGCAGAGACATGTTTCAACATGTTTTGTTTGGAATAAGCCTCTGCACGTATGAACTGGAACCCCAGTATCAAGACTTTCAGATCTACACTCAATATGAACACACCCCACCATAGCACCGTCCTCATGAAAACCACGCTGACAGGACAGTCACTAACACAAACTGCATCATCAATGAGG